TCCTCCCCGTTGGCTCCAACCAGATCCCAGTAATCAAGTTATTCGGGGCGAATAACTAGAGAGGAGGGAGCAATGTTACGCAGCACCCTGCAGTAGCCTGCGGCTATCATAGGAAACGTACATTTAGAAAAAGAAGTGGAATGTTACTCATCCCTCTACAGTGTGCTGCGGTCGTCATAAGTAAAGGTACGAGTAAATGAAGAAGATAGAATATTCCCGAAATGTCTCGAAATGTCATTCCTTGTCAAAGAAAAGTCCAGATTGTTCTAGAAGATTGAAGAAGGTCGAGGCAAGCTATATAAAGTGACGTCCTGACGTTAGTTGGCAGTTTTATGATAGACATGACATGTTAATGTTATCAGTTTTATCGTTATTGTTAAAGTTGAATTGAGTCATTGTAAAGTTGAATTGAAATAAATTGTGATACCAAAAACTAGTGTAACAATATAATAAAATTATTATACTTGTTTGAAACTTCGTTTGTCTTTTGTTGAAAAAAATTTGCTCAATGCATAGTTGGGTATGAAACACATGACTATTCTGTAGCCCCTGGAACAAAAAAATAAAATATAAATTACAACCGTAATTTGGAAGTACACAAACATAACCTCAAAAATAATAGTAATTTTATTACGTTTTTCGGTAACAATTTTTGAATTGACACACATATTTCCAATTTAATAAAGTCGAAGTTTTATTTAAACTCAACTTTTAATAAATAAAATACATTATGAAAATTGTCTCATGTTAATTTTCAGAATTTGATAGCTTGATTGGAAAGTTGAAAACGTTGAAGATAGAGAATGAAGTAGGTAGAGACGACATAAACAGTATTTTGTGATATGACAAGTGGAGGCACTTTGAGTCATATTTTGATTAATTTTAAGTTAATAATTTTTATATAATATGAAGATTGAGTGAATGAAAGTATTTTTATATCATTTAAATCACGCTATTTAATAAAAAATTGCATTTATTATCACCAAAACTGACTAGCTCGAAATTGACATATGTCGTAAAAGAGTAATGCAATTCTATATCTATGATTTAAAAAATTCATAGGCCTTGTCCTACTTTGTGACGTGACTGTGTGCGTTGCGTAAAATAAGGTGATTTTAGTGATTTTAAGAAGGTCATTGTTCGTTTCACGGATCTGTTAACGTGTTGATATCTCTTTTTACCTAGAGGCTATCGGGAAAGCTACTCGCTCTCTGAGACTCACTCAGAAAAGTGAGCCAAAGAGACACAATTAGCCATACCGCAGTGGCGTACCAAAAAATAGAAATGAAAACAATATTTTAAAATAATGTGTTTTTATGAAATGTAACTGGGTATTCATTGCACAAATAAACCAATGGAGAAACCGCCCCTAATACTATAAGAGCAAGAAGAGATAAGTTTATCTTTGTATTATGAAATCAGTAGAACCTAAGCAACTCATATTTTTTCATATCCGATGGAAATTGCTTAATATTTAGCTTCAGAATAATTATTATAATTATATCGTGTAGACATTTACCTGTAGGGGTAGTTCAAGAATAATTATAAAGTAATTACGGCTATAAAAAGTTTTTATAGAAGTATACAGAGTGACACATATAAAATGAATCTAAATGTAGAAAATTCAAGAAATTTAATTTTTCTTGGTTTTAAATCGTGTCTGTTGGTAAAATTAAAAAATGATCAACTCAATTAGGTTTTTTTTTCAGATCAAGAATTACAAGAAGAATGTATCAGAATACTTTTTACAGAATAAAACGAAAGCTAGCTGGGAAACAAATTAAAGGTTTGTAAGATTTTTTTAAAGCAGAACAGTATTTATTTAGTACAGTATAATCTTTTAGAAGCGTCAAAATAAATTGTCGTTAATAAACAGATGGATACTAATTAATATTGTTAAGTTTCGAGTGTTTATGGAATTGTTTTTTACAAAACCATTTGATGCAAGATGTAGATGTGCTAATTCAATGATTTAATAAAGTAATAACATTTATTTATAAAAACACAATAACAATAGTAGAATCTACAAAATACAGAATAAATAAAAATGATCTGACCGAAAATGTAATAACCTCATTGTTTATGATATTCAAAAAATATTAAAGATTTAAATAAAATAATTTAAATGAAGCATACCATTGATTACATATTTTACAAAAATAAAGAATGTTATTTCAAGGATAATAATATATTGTTAATACAGATCTTTAGAGTAAATGTCATAATTAAGAGTGAATATTCTAATATTTGTTTAAAAAGTCTCAATTTAGTTAATTCCTTCTGACCCTTTATTACTAGTCCGATGTTTGTAAAATTTATAGGAAATACTAGTACTAACAAAACTTAGGGATGGAGAAACCTTAAATTTTTGTAAAACTCTGAAAAGTATTTATTTTGAAACAGGGGCAGTTTCTTTATTTGTTCATTTGTGCAGCGAACATCCAGTTACATTTCATAAAAACATATTATTTTAAAATAGGTAACATAAACGTATAAATTCAATTTTATTGTTTTCATACATGTTAATCTCTATTTTTGGGTACGTCACTACGCTCTTGCTAATCGGGTCTCTTAGTGCACTATTATTAAACAATTATACCTGTCTGTCTGCACTTGTAACTTTATTTTAGAATACGAATGATTATTATCATTTTTGCACTGAAAATACTGCACTTTAGTTATTAAGTTTTATTTACTGAACCATGACAAAAATATTTATATATCCGGATCGTAGAAGGACCAAAAATTATGTTGGATTTGAAGTTTACTAAAAGTTAAACCCAACACAAATTATAAATACGACCCTAAGGCTCGCTTACCAAGTGGACTGGCTTCTTTCGGTGCTAGCTGCAAATATTTTTATACGGATAATGAAATTCCAGCAACTTCGTAAAAAACAATTGCACGACAACTTTTAAGTTTTACATATTTACACTACTTTATTTACAAACTCCAAGAGTCTTAACACTGACTTATGGTTATAATTACTTATTATTTATGATCATTTTAGTGTCTTTGCTTAGAAAACTTATGTATTTACAAAAGAATAACTGCCATCGAGTTTTGTGTTAAGATCCGTCTGACTTCTTTCGAAATACAAACCGATCTGGTCTTTTTTACCGTTCAAAAAAAGATATGCATGTCTTTGTGCCAGAAATTGGTTGGCCTTGAGTGGTTTCGCGATGAGGCAATTCAGTGAACGCGATTATGGTCACTTACATGGTCACTTAGACGTTTGTTAACAGACGTCCATAACAAAACACCTGCGCACCAAGCACAGGACCGTCCCTAAATATACTATGTTTTAGAATGTGTTTTAAAACAGTGATCATTTTACAAATAATACTCTAAATTAATTCCACGCTACACGAGTGATTTTAAAACCGATAAACAATTCAACATTCAAGAAAATAAAATTAAAAATTAACTTTAGGAAATAACATTAAAAATTTTTCTTAAAATCAAATTAGTGGTATCGACTTTAAATTCCTGAACTAAATAAGCAAATATATTTACATAAAATAAAAGTTATTTTTATTGTAGAAACAAACTTTGATAACTATAAATTAATATGAAAACCTACCATAACAACAACTTCATTAGTAGATGTGATTCTTGGCATTATTATTGGAAAATATAAAGAATTTACTCAAAATTCAAAAAAAGTATTTATAATATTTTAAATTAAAAATTCAAAAGGAACACATGTATGAAAATAAAACAAATAATTAGGTTATTAATCTAGTCAATGGCTTACATTGAACTAGATAATTCAAGGTAGAGCGTGACATTTTTAAAAATAAAACTATCACGTAACTTTTGGGTTTATACAGAGAGACGAGACAGAAGGAAAGGACTCTTCAGCATTGTGAAAAGTACATTGCTACCAAATTTGTGGTAGGTTATGAGAAATGGATACTAGATAATTTTTTCAAACAGCAACGTACAGAAAAGGGTTAATGAAAAATTGGCATTTTTAAAATTTTTTTCAGAAATATATGGGCTTTTTAAGGTATAAATTTTGTTGACAAAAAATAGTAATATAGTGTTTTAAATTAAAGATGTTTACCAAGCCAGCAGCAATAGAGTTTGAGGAGGTAAATGAAGTGTTCTACACGCACGAAAAAGGAGGAACAAGGCGGACAAGTGCAAGATGTGCGAATAAGAACATCCTTCCGGTTGTAAAGAGGTTTGAACTGTCCAAAAGAGGCAGATTAAATGAAGAAATATAAAGTGATTATATAGTAATTTTGACTAATGTGTTTCAGATATTCGACGAAGAGTTCCAGGAGCTCCAGGTAAAAAACAGGAAGAAAAGAAGAAAGTTTGGGGACAACCGATCGAGGCACAATTCCGATCAACCCCCAAGCAGATTAATTATGCAGTTTATATGATTCCTAAAGAATTATCTCGTTCTCCAAAAAAAAAAAAAAACTGGCTTAGTATTTAGTAGTTAATTTTTAATGCTTTTAAATGCAATTTGAAAGTTTTCTTACTTATATTTTACGTTGGTATCTTGTAGATTCAGGTTATCCTTATTTTTACCACCACTGTTTAATCTAATTTTCTGCATTAATAACGTGTAAACATGTAAATACTATACATATATAACCCAATATATAGTTCAAATCTTTGAACAAATTGTCCTGTTACTGCCAAAAGTCACTAACTGACATATCTGGGAAAAATCTAAAAAGTCAATCACTAACTATATTTTGAACGAAAGTGTCTATAAAAAAGTCATTAAGTATAATTTCTTGCCATTTATGCTTTATTTTTATACCAAATAGTCACTAAGTTAAACTATGGTAAAATATTGTATAAGTAAAACTAATCAAGTGACTTAGTGTTTTTTACTGAAAGCGAGTTGTTGCGATTGTTAGTCAAATCGTGAATGCAAAAATTCGCTAACAGACTTCGTGAGTTTTGGCATTTACTAAAAATTGTTGAGTTGCTTTGTTGATATACGCAGTTAGTGATTTTCCATGGTCACGTTAACTTCGGGATGCCGATTTTGTGCAAGTTTACTTAAATAGACGTAGTAAATAAAAACTTTGAATGTGTGAATTGTTACTGGAGTATTATAAGTTTGTACAGACATGAATTCTAGAGGAAAGCGTATGGTTGAAATGCTAAAACAAGGGGTAAGTCAAAATATAACCTAAAAATTTTTTGATGGTATAATAAAATGAGCGTATCAAATCGATTTCTTTGTATCACGGCTTTGTAAAGCACATTCACGCAGAAAAAGTACATTTAACATTCAAAGTAACTATTGCATCATAGTAGTAACAAAGTACGTCAATTTTAGAAATCCGGAACATCGGAAAGTAATATAGCTCCTTCTCAGTTTGGCAGTAGAGCAAGTAAACCAGTCGGAAAAGCATCTTCGACTGAATCAAGTCAAGCAAATAATTGTACAACCAAAATTTTAGTCCCTCCTTCCTGTAGTAAACAGTTCTTAGAAAACATTATAACAACCACAAGTGAAATAGATTTGCCACAGAGAATTACTAAAGATTGCAGTTTTGTAAGTATAACTACACATTCTTTTAAGTAGGTACATAATGTGTCAATTTCAGGACTTCGAATTAGAGTCATCGGAAAGTAACATAGCTGCTCAGTTTAACAGAAGAGAAAGTAACATAATCGAGAAAGCATCTGTGAGTGAATCATGTCAAGCAAATAATAATTGTACAGAAAGTTTAGTTCTTCCTTCTTGTAGTAAACAGTTTTCAGAAAATATTATATCGAACACAAGTGGAATAGAACTGCCTCAGAGAAGTACTGATGATTACACTGATGTAATTATAGCTACCTATCCTCCGAAAAATAGATAATTACTGGTTTCCAACAAATTTTTCTTTATGCAGCCTAAAGATCACTACGTGAATCTAGAGATTAGTAATACTGTAATCTTTTAGAGTGAAGATGATGATGATTCTGTGAAGGATAAGACGTGGGATCCAAATCCAACATCCAAAAAACAACAGAATTTTGATAGTTTTGATTCCGACGATCCAGATGTCACACCAATGCCTGAAGAGACTGTACATGTCGAGAATGAATCTGTAACTTCATCTAATCAGAGCAAGGAAAAACATAACCGAAAACGATCACGTTGGTCGAAATCTAACCCTTCAGAGTGGGACAAAAATATTGCAAAGCAGAGGCGCTATGCTTGCTTGCCTTATGCAACCAAAAAAGAAATGCAAGAGGCTAAATTTCCACGACCAGTCGACTGTAAAAAATGTAGATTTAAATGTTTGAAAAACTTTAATGAAAATAATAGGCAAGGAATTTGTAAAATGTTTTGGGGTTTATTAAACTACCAACGTCAAAAAGACTTCATCTTAAAGCATGTAAATTCGAGTGTGCCATGTCGTCCTAGTGCAAATGTTGCTCCCAACAAAAGACGAGCGTGCAGTCGTTCATTTCACTTTGTTAGAAATTGTATTAAAATACGTGTCTGCCAAATTTTTTTCCAGAAAACCCTATTCTTTAGCAATGGACCGATCAATACAGCATTTAAAGGGCAAACAGATGGAACATTCGTGGAAAACGATAAGCGCGGGAAAAAATATCCACCTAATAAAACAAAAGCTGACGATGTAGAGATTGTCAAGCAACACATTCAAATGTTTACGACCATGCAGTACCTGGACTGCAAACTTTCAATTAATTGAATGTACGCTTTGTATAACGAGTTCTGTAGAGATAGTAATAAAGTGCCTGTAAGTCGAAGCATGTACAGAAAAATATTTTGTTCCCATTTCAATTTGTCATTTTTTGTGCCAAAAAAGACCAATGTTGCTTATGCAACCAATACAATGAAGTAAAGAAAACTGATACGATACCTAACGACCTGATCACGAAATATCAAGATCATCAAGCACGAAAAGATGAAGCAAATCGTGCTAAGGACAATGATAAACAAAAATCCAATTCGGATCCTGGATTTCTTACTGTAACAGCTGATCTACAGAAAGTTCTCCAAATTCCATCCGCTAGCAAATCTCTTCTTTATTATTCTCGTAAACTTTGTATTTACAATTTTACGATCTATAAGTCAAAGTTGCCTAATGATGCCTATTGTCTAGTATGGTCAGAACTAAACGGCAAGAGTGGCAGTAACGAAATTGGGACTGCAATAATGCATTGGATTGATAAAGTTCCAGAGACAGTTAAGGCGATCTCTATATTTTCAAACACATGTAGTGGACAAAACCGCAACCAGCATATTGCAGAGTTATTTCTCTACCTCACCCAAACTACTCATTTAGATGTTATCGAGCAAAAGTATTTGGAGTCCGGACACACTTTCATGGAGGTAGACAGTATGCACAGTACAATAGATAATGATCAGCGTTTTGTGCTTGTCTATTCAGTATCAGACTGGATGTACGTTATGAGAAGAGCAAGATCCACAAGAAACCGTAAAAGCGCACGTCCCTACAATGTGCACCAGCTAACGTTTGCTGACATGGTAGATTTAAAAGAATTATCTAAACGCATTATGAAAAATCGCACCAAAGATGAAGATGGAAATCAAGTAAACTGGCTGCGAATTAAATGTTTGCGTTATGAAAAACAGCACCCTGGTAAAATAAAGTATCGGTATGGCCACGATGGCCCCTACAACACAATCAATATACTTGGTAGAAGGAGAAATGTTAACATAAGTCAAACCAATGTTAAAAAGGCTTACGATAAACTGCTTCCAATCAGTACTTTGAAGAAAAACGATTTGCTAAAGCTTTGTCATAATACCACAGAAATTGCATCCACGGTACGAGTCTCTACCTGCAGATAGCAAGATAAGAGAAGAAAAAAACTGCTGCACCAGCAGTGGGTGAAGAGTCTGATGAAGATCCATAGACCACCGAACTGAATATTTTGCTTTTTTCTGTTCTTTAATTTTCTTAATTCATGTATTTCTGTTTTTGAAGTTAATAGTTCTGTTGAATCTGTAGTACCATAGCAATATTTCCTTAATAAAAATTATTTTAAACTGCAAATGTTATGATTTTTTTATTTGCTAAAATTCACTAACTACGTTTTTACTTTCCTATCTGTATACAGATATAAGGAAAGTATAGGAATCATTATTTTTTTCGACCTCGAGTTTTCGACGGATTTTTACGTTTTGAGGTCCCCTGAATCCGTTTTGACTATTTTCGCGATGATGTTTGTTTGCGTGTGTGTGTGTGTGTGCGTGTGCGTGTGTGTGTGCGTGTGTGCGTGTGTGCGTGTGGCGTGCGTGCGTGTGTGTGTGTTTGTGTGTTTGTGTTTGTGTATGTGTGGTGTGTGTTTGTGTGTGTGTGTGTGTGTGTGTGTGTGTGTGTGTGTCTGTGTGTGTGTGTGTGTGTGTGTGTGTGTGTGTGTGTGTGTGTGTGTGTGTGTGTGTGTGTGTGTGTGTGTGTGTGTGTGTGTGTGTGTGTGTGTGTGTGTGTGTGTCTGTGTGTCGCATAACTCATGAACCGATGCACAGAAAACATTAAATTTTAAACTTAAGCTTTGTTCCAGCGTCCAATGAACTGGTTAGACTTTGAGCAGAGTCGGAACATCTGGGGGGTACTTTATAGGTGGTCATTTTTATATTTTATGGAATATATCTGTTATTTACGTTTGGGGAAGAAAATTTTTTAAATAAAAGTTACTTCTTATATTATCTATAATTTTTGTTTTATACAAAATTTTTCTAAAATGGACCGTATTCAAGAAATATGAGAAAATTGTAAATTTTGAAATTTGAAGAAAACTCAAAAACGGATAAAAATACATTAAATTTTAAACTTAAGTTTTATTTCGGCCTGACGTGAAATGATTAGATTTTGGACAAAGTCGGAACATCTGGGGAGTACTTTATGGGAGGCCGTTCTTATATTTTATGGAATATATTATCTGTTTTTTATGTTTGAAGAAAAAAATTGTTCAAATAAAAGTTACTTCTATTATTATCTATAATTTCTGCTTTATGTCAAAATTTCCTGAAATGGTCCGTATTCGAGAAATTTGACAAAATGTGCAAAATTCTGATTTTTATGAAAATTGTTGAACTAAAAGTTGTTTGCGATATCGATCTCTATAATTTTTGTTTATACATGATTTTTCTAAAATGGACCGTAATGAAAAAATTGTAGGAAATTTAAATTTTTCAGTATTTTCGTTTTCAATGAATATCTATAAAAAAATGTTTCAAGGTAGATGTATTTAGACAATGTATATATTTAGTTTATTCTCTAAACATTTATGGAGGTGCTGCAATAGGTTGTACAAAATAACCGGAAAAAGCCTGTAATAACTAGATAGGAAAGTCATGTGTTGGACACATCAGATTTTTTTTCATAATTTTGTTCTTTGAGAGTTTTGTGAAATCGATATAATTTAATAAACTGATACCCAAGATCACTACATACTTCTTAGTAAACAAAAAACACATTAAATTGGACTACTGATTTGTGCAATGCCATTAATTTTCAAATGCGTTTTTCTGGAAACTAACGAAATGTAAGTTAGTGACTTTTGGCAGTAACAGGACGAAATTAGATTTGACTTAGTGTCCATGATCTATTGTTATACGAAGTTGGACATCATTTCTCTATTCAGCTACATAAGAAAGTTGAGACGAAAGTTTTTGCTTCTATGTGTCTTATGGGGAATGCTTCTAGTCACCTGGTAAAACAGTCTACACATGTTAGTAGATGTTGGATATTAAGAACGTTATAACTATATTGATATAAATATATTTAAATCTTCTTGATACCAGTGAAACACCCATAGATGCTGACGTGTCTTGTCACTTTTGAGTGTTGAAACCAAACAACTACGTAACCATTTGCGGCAATTACGTTTCATCCTAGGCCAAATAAAACGTTCTGAAGTGAGTTTCACCATAGCACGTATACCCGGAAGAGATAACTGGTAAAGTAAATTAAATCATCTCCGAAATTCCCAGTAAGTTAATTATAAGTTCTGATATAAACTACATGCATATTTGAATTAATACTTTAATTAGAAGAAAGACCACAGACAGTTGATATTATTAAGCGACACATCCTGTAGGATATAGAAAAGTGAGGGTGGCAGAAGTCGAAACGAGCGTTCCCGAAATTGGCATGTAAATAAATTAGGAACACTTAATGTAAAATTAGAAGCACGGCTCGCAGGGGAAATTGTGAAATTTGAATTCAACGTTGGGAAGTGATTTCCGTTTGGTCACGTGACATCTGCGTTTATGAACGAATATTACTGCGACTCGTTCGTTTTTCGGGGGCCGTGATTAATGAACTTATCAACGGCTCGGTCATTATTATAGGTAGTTCGCTTTCATTGGCGAAGTTTGTACGACAAGATCAGCTACTGGATCTGTTTATTACTGTACTCGAATATTTGAAGGACGAAAGATGGGTTGAACAGTAATTAAGGTGTTCATTGGGTAATAACAACAGTATTTATAGGATTAGATAATATACAAAGTTACAAAATATCAATCTGTAAATAAAAATTAGGCTTGGCATAAGACAAAGGCATTTTTGTAAAATTTACACTGTTCTGGAATATACTTTTAAATTTGTTTTTCTGACAGCTTGGTATGTTATTGTAATGTTATACCGTAGGGTGCAACTATGAAGACTAGATCTTCATAGTAGTAACCAACGTCTGTTTATAGTTGTTAAGGGAGTCATAACGGGCTAGCCCAGTAATAGTAGTTTACGTAATGAGCCAGTTACCTAAACCTTTACATGCGAGCATAGTCATTAATATACGAGTGCTAGCTAGTTTCTTTAAAACTCGATGCAAACCGTCCGAGAACCAGTGGAACAGTTCAATTCCAAATTATTTGTCGCATACAACTATTAAACTGCCCACTGATTAACTAGTCCTCTGATAGTTCTCAATGTATTTTTGAAGAACCCCAACAGACCTAATATCTACGTGCTCGCACGGTCATATAACGTGCTCCCATGTAAATATATAGGTAACGGGCTTATAACAAATTACTATTGTCAATAGAAAACCGCCGCGAGACTTTGTGTCTAGAATTCTAACGATCGCTTCAATTCTATCGATTCGTACTCCGTGTCTCCAAGCAAACGGACATGCTCTTTGGCAAAATTTGTCGCAAAATTTAAATGGTCTGGGAAAATGGAGAAAGGTAAATAGGTATTGTATTGTTAAGCAAGGTAGATTTTTAAATCCTTCTTTTGTGATATTTGTTTAAATTACCTTCCTATTCTCTGAATTACATCATATCTAGGGTTACCAGACGTTTTTGTTTCCCCAGACATGTTCTATTTTTAGATACGTGTTCCGGTATATATTTTCAAAATATTTTTTTTTATTCTTCCATTTATAAATATAAAAGTAGATATTAGAATGCTAACTTCACTAAATAGTTTATAATACGAATCATCCCCAAAATAATTTTAAACTTGAATCCTTGTTACTTTTCTATTATGTTTTTAGATTTTTTTTTTCCATAATATGATAATGAGTAGTAGCTTTTTATCTACAAACTAATTTAATAAAATATGTATTCCAATTATTTACTAATTTATTCAAATTAACTTTTTTAAATTACATCTGGTAACCCTAATCATATCAGTATAATTGAGCCGTTCTTTGCATAAACTCCAGTTTTTATTAAATTCGACTACTGTGGTTTTTGATGAAAATTGCTGTT